AAAAAACAATGTATGGTAAACTAAACAGTAGAAGTTCTTTTGCGGAAACGAGTCTCATAGCTATGTGAGGAAGAAGGAGAGTCAAATGTTGACGGAGGGGTGAGCTCACTTCGAAGGTACCCGGTGAGATGAGTAGAAGTAGCCCCGTGTTGGGAAAGAGCAGCCTCCTCCTCGCAGGGAATCCATGGCGAAGTGAAAACGGGTCCAGAGATTTCGAAGCATTTCTTAACTTGGTTCATATGAACACGCTTAGGAGGCGATTGCGGAGAAGAAACGCTAGTAATGACCAGGTGCGGGTGCTCTACCTTAACGACACGGAACTGGCCCAACCAAGGGTAACACAGCTTGGGTGACAGTCCGATCTTAGGAGCGAAGTCCCGGAGGTATACCCTATCCCCAGCTGAAATCTTTAAAGGTGGTAGTCCTGTCTTGTCATACTGCTTCTTGAAACGGGCGCTTTGCTGAACGTTGAATGCCGCGGCGGAACTCCAAGCCGATTGAAGAGCGGAAGCAAGAGACTCCTTGTAGATGCTGGCATCCATGTCCGACGGGACGTGATGAAGAGAGCTGTGCCTCAGCATGAGATCGATGTTAAATACTGGGTCTCGACCGAACATCAGGAAAAACGGGGTTTCATTTGTGCTAGAATGTATGCTGGTGTTATACGAGAAGACGCATGCCGGTAAGAAGGTGTCCCAATCCAGTTGGTTGTCGCTAATGTAGGTGCGGAGCATGGCCTGGAAGGTGGCGAAGACTCTCTCGCACACCCCATTCCCTTCGTGATGGTAAGGGGTACAAAAGTATCGATTGATGCGAAGAAGCTTACCCAACTCGGTGATTAATTCACCTTTAAGATAAGAGGCATTATCTGAGATCAATTCCGTCATAGCTCCGTATTTCAAAATACAGTTGTTCATTAAAGACTGAGCAACTGTAGGAGCAGAGCAATCAGGAAGAGGGGAAGCAACGACATATTTAGAGAAATGATCAATGAGACAGATGATGTATTTGTTAGAGGAAGCAGATGTATGATAAGGACCGCTGAGATCCATATAGACCTTATGAAAGACGGACTCAGCGTGGATAGGTAGAAGACATTCGCGGTTAGCGGGATGAATCCGCTTCCGCTGACAAGGATCACAAGAACGAACATAACGAAAAACATCCTCTTTCATAGTCATCCAAAAATACTTGCGAGCAATTTTGCCTAGGGTCTTCTTCCAATTAAAGTGTCCGCCTGCGGCTGGACTATTATGAAAAGCGATACAAACTGGCTCGCACAGTTTCAGAGGTAAGAAAAGAACTTCGTACCTGTGTCCTGCTCGAACTCGTGAAATATAAAGGCAACCGTTCTTACGTATAGTACATGAGTCCACAACTTCCATCGCATTTGTCTTATCCGTTTCAGATGCTGTGAGAGGAAAAGTTCCAGACTCTAAAAAATACATGATGGTACTGCAAAGTGGATCTTGTTTTTGTTCAATGAGAAGGTCATATGGACGAATACGTAAAGGCGAATCTCCAGGTGTCTGAACTAGACATACTGGGAATTCAATGATGTCTTCGGCTGCGGGTGTTCCATCTACGAAACGGTCCTGACTAGCCTCAGTACGACTAAGAAAATCAGCTATTACGTTAGATGAGCCTTTCAGATATTCGATTTTGATGTTATAACTTTGAAGTTCAACAGCCCACCTCGCTAGGTTGTCGTGAGTCTTGTTATGCCGTAAGAGGAAAGTGAGGGGCTTATGATCCGAGTAGATGCGAGTCAAATTGCCATAGATCGTTGTGCGAAAGAAGCGTAGGGCACTGACCATAGCAAACAGTTCGATGTGGGTGGGGCTCCATTTACGTTGAGAGTCCGACAACGTCTTACTGTAGTACCCGACTGCAGCTAACTTCGAGGAATCCTTTTGTTCCTGAAGCAAGACCGCCCCTACTGCGACTTTGCTTCCGTCCGTATGGAGAACGAACTCATGGTTTCTTGGAAAGGCCAAACATGGCCGAGAAATGAGAGCTTCCCTGATGGACAAAAAGGCTTTTTCTTGATCAGCGGTCCATTCGAACGTTGCTTTACCCTTGCAGAGCGCATAAAGGGGCGCCGCCATCGCGGCGAAACCTCTTATAAACTTCCTGAAAAAGTTAGCCATGCCGAGAAACCCTTTCACTTCCTTTATGGTCTTGGGGCGCGGCAAGTCGCGTATGGCTTTGATATTGCGCTCCGCGGGGCGGTAGGCATCCCTGGAAATTTCGTGTCCGAGAAAAGTAATTCTCGACTGAGCTATGTCCGTCAGTTTCTTGCCTGAAGCTTTGATGTTGAATAACCGGAAACGTTCGAAGACTTTTCGCAGGGAGTTCAGGTGGGAAGGGAAGTCTTTGTCGAATACGATGATATCATCCAAATACGCCAAGCAATTCCCTTCTAAACCTGCTAAGATCCGAGACATTGCGCGAGAGAAGTATGCGCCAGCATTGCGCAGACCAAAGGGCAAATAAACAAATTGGTAGACTCCTCGATGAGTCGCCCAACCACATTTGGCTTGACTAGCGGGGTCGAGCAACAGTTGCATATACCCAGATGCCAGATCTAAGGTGGTGTAGAATTGGTTTCCTGCTACTTTCTCAAGTAGATCTTCGATACGGGGCAAGGGATAGTGATCTGGTATCGTAATGTCATTGAGTGGACGGAAATCCAAGCAGACTCGCAGCGAACCATCCTTCTTCTTGACCAAAACGGTATTATGCACCCATGGGGTGTCACTTTCAACTATTCGACCGGATTGGAGTAGCTTGTTGATATGTTCATCCAACTCCTTCTGGAAGCGAGTCGGGATGCGAGTGGGCCTATACTTGGTAGGAGGAATCTCGGTAGTCGTTTTGATTACTATTGGAGACAATTCATACGAACCTAAGTCATAAGATGAGGTCGAGATACGATCGCTAAATTCTTCAAATAGATCTTGTAATTGACGCTTCTGCGCGTCGTTCACTTCAGCGTGAGATAAATCTACAGAAAAAGAACGTTTTCTCGAGTAGGAGCAATCGGCCCCGGTATCTACAGCTGTTGCAAGCACAGGCGTGCTAAAACAACGAAGGGGGTTCCGACAACGTACCGTCCTCGGCTTCTGAGAGGGGAAAGGCTTCAGCTAGACGCTGGTCCTTGAAGATAACCTGCGCTGATGAAGATGGGTTCGTTACGAGGAGATGCGGGTACTGACTATCGAAAACAGCGGGAGCAACGAATAAGTTGTCTTCTCCTAGGACGTTTGATGAAGACCAAAGGCAGGAAGGAGGTTGACAATCCTCTGCTACATAGCACGGAACTATGGTTTCTGTCCCAGGGGGTAGGACCGTGGTGACAACGGCCCGTACCACTGTTTCCCTTGGAGGTTCTGAAGGGGGTGAACACACAAAAATCTGAACACTGTCTGGTCCTATGTGCACAAGGCGGTTCTCATAATCGACTGACCAAGGAGGTAAGCGACAAAGTACATCGTTACCTAGGATCAGATCGTAAGAGTTCACCTGTGTTGGTACGCACTGTCCTGCTGTGAAATGAACTTTCTGTTCAAGTTCTTCACTGCCGATCTGCAGGTTGACTACTGCGCTCCCAACGAATCTTACCGGGATACCAGCCATACCCAATGCGGAGGGTACGTCCGCAGTTTCGAGGTTAAAGATCCCTAGTAGAGCAAGGAGGGACTGGCTGGCTACTGTGATGCCAGCGCCGGTATCGATTAAAGCTAGCATACGAAGACCGTTAACTCGGACGGGAATCTGTGCAACAAAGAATCTGTTTTCGGCGTGCAGGGAGAGAACTTGGACTGGAACGGTAGAGGCTCGAGGGGGCCAGACGTTTCTGGCGTCAATTTCAACCTTTGAAATGTCGACACTCTCAGGGTTCAATGAGGACAAAGCTACAGCATGTAACTCTTCTGTTGGAATTGGTGTATTACGTGGAACTGTATGCAACGATGAAGCTGGTGTCGCTATACAGCGAGACAACGTTTTCTTGAGTAGGGGCATCAGCCCCGGAAAACTAACGGCAATATAACTAAGCATGAGAGTTTTGAAAATTCCGAACGAAACGACGACACAACAGATACATACCCACACTTGGAAGGGAGAAGAAACAAAGAAGTGTATAGATGGTAGAATGTTGCTCAATGCGGATGGTACGTTCGTGACTGAAGTCGGAGAAGAATGATATACGTGAGCGATATGATCGATTAGCTTCTCCTGGTCTCTAACCGTCCACATTTCTTGAAACTGAGTATCTGCCAAAATCTCGCTTAGGTTTGTCAAGACTAGGTTGTGAAAAATGGTGAGCTTGGGCGAAAGAGAGAGAGCATGTAGAGGCGGGGAAGATGGGACCATGTGGACTTGATTCAAAGGGATAGCAGAAAACTGACCCTCTACAGGTGAGAATTGCACAAGAGTACCATTGGCTGACAACACGACTGGCGCGACCTCCTCACAATCGATGACAGAAGCCTTGTTAACTACGACCCCTGTGGATGGCTGGAGGAAGGCCTGCCAAACCGAACCACTAGGTAGCAGAATATTGATGCGAGGATATTCAAAGCAGGTGTTATTGAACGGTACGAAAGACAATGAAGAGGGTGGCACTTGAACACAGCGTCGAACTTGAACATAACCGTTACCTAGATGTAGTGCCGAAATATCCTTCCGACCAATTAGACTGCGCATCGTCAACGTGGGGTTGGTCCGTAGAGCTGCGTGCAAGGAGATGGCGAGAATATTCGTACGCTCACAGAGTGCTTGAATAGCGTGCCGAAAGAGGACGGCTACGGCGTCATGCACGGAACCTTCCACTGCCAACAGCTGAGCGGCCAGCTGGTTGGAGGTGACCAAGCCGGCGTCCGCCGAACGACTGAAGCGTCTCACAAAAGCAATGGCGTAACCCTGGTCCGTTAGCGTAAGCTGCATCCGACAGTCGAGAACAAGGGGGCTTTGATCAGTCCAAGACAAAGCGAACTCTTTAGATTCGCTCAGCCAAACATTGTCCATCAAGATACCTTTCATCTTCGATACCGAAACAAAGCGGCATTCCTCCTCTCTGTCGGGTGTCCAGATGGCGACCGACCCATCCTGTAGTATACATTCGCCGTCCTTATACAGACAGGAACTCATATCCCCAGCGGCTGACTGCGGAGATTCTTTGCCATGGCGTGCATGGACGCGAGTCTCGATCAAGTAACAGTTGTGAACGACGTTGACGTGAGTCGAGCAACACCCAAAAGGGGCAGAGGGGAACTCAACGGACAAATCGTTGGTGGTTTTCCAGATACCACCGTGAGAAGATAACTCCCCATGAGCACACTTCTTATGATGGGACATGAGCTTGCATTCTTCAGCGGATACAGGTAAATGGGATTCGGAATGATTCTCATACCGTGCGCCGAAAAAGTTAACAGAATAGGAAACAGAATGACGAATAATCTTACAAAGAAAAGCGGGAGTAGAGTAACGTTTAGTGTTGGGACGAAATACATGCACAGTAAGAGAACGAGGGTGAGTAGTAGTATTCGGAAATAAAGAAGAACAATTATAAGCATTC